TAATTCCACACATTTCAACTATAAATCGAATTAATTTAAACTATGAGGCACATGATATTGCTATTCGTGGACAATATGAAAGTAATATGACAACAAAGCAAATTATGCATAACTTGCTTGCCCCCATTAATAATGCACCTAAAAATGAATTAAAGGAAATATTGGATAACAAAAAATTCGCATGTAATGAAACAAAAATTCATCATTTGTTAGAACATGATACTTGTCGCCTTAGAGATAACATTGGTCAATGGACTCGACTTCATCAACTTGTAACTAATGAGTTAAAAAAATAAGGAGGTTGTTTTATATTATCAACAACCAGATCCTGAAACGCAGGAAAATGATTATAAGCATTATTATCAGCTTACCTTAAGTGATGAAATATGGTTGCAGCAGGCTCGAGATTGTGGTTCATTTTGCTTTGGTATAGATGGAAAGTATGATTTAAATAATGACCGTGCACCAATTCTAGTTTTTACAGTTGAGGATCAAGCTGGTTATGGTTCACCAATAGCAATTGGACTTTCAAATAAAGAAAATAAATTTATAATTCGTATTGCTGTTGAAGCTATTCAAAAAAATATACCATGTACTCAATTAGAATGCCCACATTCTTTTTATTATGTTAATTTGCCTAATAGTAAGGGATTTCAACATATTCGACAATGTAATTCTAATTGGAATCCATATACAATGATAGATAAGCACCGACCTTCAAAAGCTGCTTTAGAACCAATACTTCGAGGTGTAATTTTGTGTTGGTTTCATATAATGAAAACATTTGGAGAACATTTGCAAAATTTAAAGGTAGAGCAATCATTACGATATCTAATTGCCATTGCATTTAAAATTATAGGGCAGAGTCGAAGCAAAAATGAAGTACTTGAATTGGCAAAAATGTATAATGAATTTATTTTAATGTTACCATTGGAAGATCATATAAAAGAATGTCTTCAAAAAGATTTGGCATTAAACTGGATATGTGATAAATGGTGTATGAGCTTTATTGATAGTGGACACCTTCCTTATGAATCTGATAATCCATGTTCAAAACCTTTAACTACCAATAATTTTACTGAACGAATGAATAAATCATTAGAAAGTCAACGCAGCAATACAAAAACAGTAGCAGATTTTGTTGAAAATCTTTATGGTATTCAAAAAATACGTTCTACACTATCTGAAGAGAATTCAGGTCAATTAAATTTTCATACTGGTCTTGTAACATATTGGAATGCTCGTACACTAGATCATGAAAATGAAGAGTATCACTTTGCAATTGACAAGAAACGACGATTAAATCAGGAGAGATATTATGTACTTTGTGGATGGATTAAAAATATTGAAAATTCTAATTATTTTTATGTTAAGAAAGGAAATAACTCATTTTGTTCACTATATAATTCAGCACCAATAAAAATTAATCGTGAAATTCAATTAGAAATTGATAAAATGGTTGGAAAACTTGCTTCAAAGCATAATATAGAAATTCCATCACAATATTATTTAGTTAATATTCAATCAGGAGAGTGTACGTGCTTAGATTTTATTTGGAATAGTTCGTTTCGTGATGTCTGTAAGCATTGTCATGCCGCTCGTCTCTTTCGATCAATTCAAGAAAAAACTGAAAGTTTAGCAACAATAAAATCAAATTTTATTCAATACTTCCGGAATAAAGAAAAGGCACTTCCAGCAAATGCAAAAAATTATATTATTTATAGTGGAGTAGAAGATGAAGCATTTCAAGAAATTGTTAGCCTTTATAATAAAGTAGGAGATGCTATTTTTTATCCATATAAGTGGCAATTAGCAGAAAAAGATCCTTTTAGACCACTTGAATTATCTGAGCGCAATACTATGACATATGGATCTCCCAAAATACATGGAGCAAAAAAACGCAACCCAAGTCATTTTGTAACTGATATAACCAATAATATTATAAATGAAAATCTGGTAATTATATAGTACAAATTACTCTCGTTATAGTGAAGTAGTTAGGCTGAGAATACTATATAAATATTATTATATTGAGTGAAGAGTTAATAATAATGGCAATGAATTTAAAAAAAATTCTTCACTATATCAAAATTTTCACTGTATCGAGAGTTCACTATAATGAGAGTTAATTTTTTATTTTAAATATAACTAATTAATAAAATTTTAAATTATAAAGAAAGTTAACTCTACAAGTGGGCTTTCAACAATATCAGCACCAATAGTCGATACTGCATTACTCTCTAAAACATATTCAACATCAACACCAATAATCGATCCTACGTTGCTCTCTGAAGCTTATCCAACATTAGAAATGCATTTAGAACATTATGAGGAGAATTTTAATAGTTTAAATGAACAGCAAATACAGAAAGAGATTCTACCGCTTCAAGAAAAATATGTACATTCAAATACTTCAAATTCTCAAACTATTCAAGCAACACTTCCTCATTCTATTCAACGTAGAAATACTACAAGAATTCGTAATCTAAAACGTGGTACACAAGAGGTATGAAAATATTAATGTTTAGATACATAAATTGTATCTTTTAACTAATAATAATTTTTTAATAAGAATATAGAAAATATCAATTTAGTGAATTTGCCTCAAAAACGTAAGCATGTAAATGATACTCAAGAAACATTAGAGGCAATATTTCTTGAGCAAGGCATAACTTGGAAACCACGTGCATTTACTAATTTCTGCATTAGCAAGAATATTCATTTAGCTGATGATCCTGTAGTAAATGATAGGCTAATTTATAGTTGGATTAGTAGACGTAAATATAAAGCA